CACCTCTAAATCATTCATTTTATTTGTTTTAATGATTATTTACTTATTTTGAGGGAGAGAGAGAGAGCGCATGCATGAGCAGGGGAGGGGTAGAGAGAGGGGTCAGGGGGAGAGAGAATCCCAAACAGGCTCCATGCTGTCAGCACAGAGCCCAATGTGAGGCTCAAATTCATGAATCATGAGTCAGATGCTTAACTGACTGAACCACCCAGGCACCACTAAATCATTCACTTTAAAGCCTAATTTGTTCTCGTGAAAGATTTTCTCTGTCATATTTGGCTTTAGAAAGTGTGAGAGTAGGAAAATGTATGTGTTTTTTGTATGTAGTCATCTGAATTCGTTCCTGAAAGAAATATCCATTCATTTACTTAGCTCAGTTAAGCAAATCTTTATGAGGATAAAAATCAGTATTTATTATGGTTTTATGTATGTTTAATTAACATTTACTAGAAATTATGAAGTTTGAACATAGACTTTTTTTCTCAAATACACACACATACAGTTTTACATATTGCATATAAAGAGAGTTCCCAGAAATCTGAACAGAGGGATGTAGGCAGGTGGGGTTATACTCGACCACAGTTTTCTTCGATTTGGATTGTGAATGAATCATATCAATGATAATGATTATGCAGCTGCTGCTGTCACCACAACTATCTCTTCTACTAACTAATGTTTGTTAAGAATTTAATATGGGCCATGCACTTTTCTAAGAGATTTACACAAATGCACTATCTCAGTCTTCACAACAGCCCTGTGGGGTTTACTGATGAGGAAATGAAGGCTGAAAAGAGTTAACTAGTTAAGCAGCGGAGAGAGGATTGAAATCCAGGCAATCTGATTCTGGAGCCAATGTTCTAAACATGGCTTCCCAAGTAACGGTGATATTTGTGTAGGTTTGAAGGAAGAAGTCATTTAAGACTGCTTCTTTTGGAAAGTTGCTGAATTGTAAGACATTTTAAAGCACATGTTTAAATTACATGGCTTTAAATTCCATACTTTACAAGCAAGGATGAAATGACTATTTATAGAGTGTTTATTGAGCAGCAAATATGCGTGTTGAATCCTTCAGGTGCCTATTCTCAGTTTGGATGATTTCTGGATGTTTACTAAACAGGATACGGAACGCAACTTAAGTAATGAAGAGGAGAGGATTATCTACTGTGGAATTTCCCTGTGTGTGTGTGTGTGTGTGTGTGTGTGTGTGTGTGTGTGTGTAGCCAAGAGAAAAGGAAGAAAAGGACTAGGGAAGGACAGAAAGGGGAAAGTAGCAGTTTGCCTGAAAACCTAAGCATAGACCAAGTAACACATTAAGAACATAACCTCTAGACTGACTATAGGTAAAGGATAAAGTAAGAAAAATTTAAGAACAAAAATTATTAACTGAAATATTTTACTGCATTAATTTATACAAATAAATGCTTGTTAAATCAAAAGCCATAGAGCTTCACTCTTAATTTTTTTTTATTTTTTAAGTTTATTTATTTATTTTGAGAGAGAGAAAGCGCACAAGCTGGGGCGGGGCAGAGAGAAGGAAAGAGCCCCAATGTGGGGCTCGAACTCACACACTGTGAGATCATGACCTCAGCTGAGATCAAGAGTCAGATGCTTAATCAACTGCGCCACCCAAGTGCCCCTAGCTTTGCTGTTAATTTTAACATTCAGTTGCCCAAAGATTTTTTCAATGGATTTGGGAATCTACACAATGGTTTTTTTTTTTCTTTTTCCTTAGGCACTGAAAATGAAGATGCTAAAAGGGAATATCAAAATGATAACCAAGCAAGTTGGGTCCATCGTATGTTAATGGCTTTGGTGAGTGATTCAACTTTATTCAATACCAGAGAAGGACGTGCTGGGAAGGTACACAACTTCATGTTGGGCTTGAATCTCAATACATCCTATCCAATATCTCCTCTGAAAGACTTTACCACACAGGAATCATTGGATGAAGATGAATTGGATACAGCTGTTGCAGGTAAGCACACAACACAAAATCCATGTGTTTGTTTCTCCTAATTCAGGAGATCTGTATTCCTTTCTAGGGAGAAGAAGCCTTTTGATCATATTCAATATTTATTCACATATACTCAATTACAGCTACATCCATGTAATGTGTGAAGGGCTTCAGATTACTGTTTTTTAGAAGAAGAACATCCATTAGACAGGAAAGGGCATAGTTATTTCAGCATAGAAAATTTTCATTGAAACATTGAGGAGGGATCTTAGATCCTCTCTGTAGTGGACAAGGTTCACTCAGAAAACAGGAAACCCTCTCCCTTGTTTAATTGAGAGGGATTTAAAGTAGGGAAGTAGGTGTTTACAAAATTGCTCCAAGGCTTGGAAGAGCAAGCTCCAGACTGAGCTTCTAGAAATGATTCCAAAAACACTTTAGAATCACCCCCAACAAACGCCCACACAACTGTGCTTGGCAGTAGAAATGGCAGAAATGTAGCCTCTGTCTCATTTCCTCCTTTGAATCTCATGTGGGTTTTTCTCCTTGGCAAAGGACAGGTCTCAGCAGAACCAGTGCTGGAAGGGATTCTGGTAAATGGGGTCCTTAGTTGGCCATCTGCTGCCACATAGTAATGCATGCAACCCAAGTGCGTGAAATAGAGTTGAGTTCACCAGTCTCAGTGACCATCAGGCTACTGAGTGTGTCCCTCCAGTTCTCAGAAAGGTTAGGTAGCTTTCTTAAGTCCAGGTGGTCAGAACCCACTCAGTGGGCCAAATTCCAAAGAATAATTCCCTTTATTCTTCAGTTCATTTCATGTTTCAAATTAAAAGCTAAATTTGCCTTGGTGACTAATCAATTCATAATAATCTTTCTTATAATGATTCTGTCATCTTAAATCTTTCTACTACATCACACCATCATTTTTTCTGATAAATGCCCAAATGTCATTTCCCAGTCATTTCTGCCTAAGGGCATCAAGAGGAAGCTTTAGAAACTTAAGTGGAATTTTTCCAAAAACCTTTCTTCTACTCTTTGGTTAAGCATCATGCCTATAAAATATTTGTGAAAATTAGGGCATGACTTTAGGTTTGGTGGTGTTTCTCATAGTGCTGTTTCCATTTGTTGCTTGAGCTTAAGGGAAATTACAAAAGCAGAAGTTGCCCTTGTTTAAACAAGAGGAGTAGAAACTCACTATACTTTGCATTATGTTTATGGCATCCAAGTGTAGGATGTGAGGTATGGTATGATTATATACCTGTAATCCAAACCCTTTCATACCTTAGCAATGATAAAAGTCTATTTGTGATAAAATCAATATCCCATTTGAAAATTCATCCAAAATTAAAAAAAAAAAAAACACGACCATTTATCAGTGACATTACTTGTCTTGTGGCACATGATTATACTTACTGCCGGTATAATCCCCATTCTCAAAGATCATTTAGAATTAGGAAGAATCTTTAGTTATATTCCACTATAGAAAAGGGAGATCAAAGAAATCGTTCTCATTTTCCAAAATTTATCAGCTGAGCTAGAATGGGGTCACAGACCTCAGCATTGCTCAAAAGCTCTTCCTTTCTGCTACACTCCATGTCTCTGTTAGTCATTGTTTTGCTGATGTAAAATGGAAGTTTCCTTTCTGTGTACTATATTACATCTGTTTTATGTTATTACTTTGATTCATTTACCCAGCATAGCTCTGTGGTTTGCACAGCATGAATTCTTCACACTGCATTTTAACAACTTCCTGGTAGTTTTGCAATATTTTATGTAGATTCAGAGGCATTAGGGTTGCTAGATCAAATACAGCAGGCCTAGTTAAATTTGAAATTCAAATTATATATTATACATATAATATATATATTGTATATATTATATATATAATACACACACACACACACACACACACACACACACACACACACACACCTATGTAAATATGGCCCCTGCAACATTTGGGACATACTTGTCCTAAAAAATTATTTGTTGTTTGTTTGAAATTCAAATTTAACAGCATCTTGTATTTTTAGTAGATAAATTTGGTAACCTTAGGAAATGCACGGCTTTTGTTATTTTCACCTTCTTTCAAATTGTTCTTCATTTTCATCTTCTTTCTTTCCTTTGTTCATGCATTTACACAGTATTTGCAGAGCACTTGCAATGTGTTTAGTTCTAGAGACCCAGTGCTCAGCAAGACAAATGTAATTCTCACCCTCATAAAAATTAAAATCATTTTTTGACCTTTCCTTAAAGTTTTGATTCATAGGAGGGATTTGTATACTCTAGTTAAGAATAATAGAAAAGTAGAGTAAAACTAAAACCCAGCAACCCTGATTCTGGTGGAACTGTGGGACACAGTCCTCACTTCTCTCCATAGTGCTTGGAGAACAGAGTTGTACATCACCTTATCTGACTCCTTTCTTTATTGGGTGCTCTTTGGAGGAAGTCTCATGATTGGTTCTCATAAAGTAAAATGAGGAAGCAGAAAAATAAATCGTCTCAAAATATGGTATTACATTGACTAACCATTCTTTTGTTGGCCTGTTTTGGAATGTTTTAACCGAAAATTGTTTTAAATTAATGATCTTTGGAAGGAACTTTAAATTTATTTCTTTGTGTTGTATCTCATAAAAACTCTATTTCACTCACTTTATATTTATCCAGTTGAGAAAATGTATACGGCCTATTGATTTTAGTCAAGAAGCCAGTCGGGTCAGTGATGAGCTCATTCAAATCTATAATTCACAGATTAACGTTGCTAAAAAATGACTGCAGTTTAGACTGGATTTGCTAAATCGATTAGTGCTTTTTCAGACAGCTCCTTACTAAGGTAGACCCTGTTTATCTCCTGATTATTTCCAAGCTTTAGACTAACGATGTCTGTGGAGCTTAAAGTTAAAAGATGTATCATAAACTATAATCATCAACTATAATCATCTTGGTTCATAAAGTCTTCATTAAAAGTTCTATTTATTATACACTTTAAAATACCATATCTTAATTAAAACATTCACTAAGTTTATTTCTTTTATTTTTGTACCCCGCCCCTATGCAAAAAAAAAAAAAAAAAAAAAAAAAAAAAAAAAAAAAAAAAAAAAAAAAAAACCACAGATTTTAGGAAAACCTTACATTTTGGTTTACCTATGATGATTTTGTTTTTACAGATTAAAATTTGAGTATCTTAAAATGAAAACAATCTCTTAACCTAAAATGAGAAAAAAAAATAGTGCAGTTTTTGTGCCTATTACCTCACCTTGCAGACAATCTTTTGAAAATAAGAGAAGGTGGATTCCTCTCATTTGTTTACTTCAGAATCATTGTATACCTTTAGAACCTAATTTTGGAGAAGCTGCCCATTAATTACATAACTTCTTTCCTGTTTACTTTTGTGTTTATGTTATTCACTGTGACACATACCATCTGGAATAAAAAATTGAGGCATGAGTTAATTTAGGCCAGAGTTCAATACACAAACAGCCAAACATTTTGGTACATCATAAATTGAATCTGTGTGATGTGTTTATAAAATGACCGTTGCAGATACCTGCAGATACAGTATCTGCAGATACAGCTGAACTGCTTTAAGGAGGTGGTACGTAATTATAGAACCCAGCATGTTTCCATACCTATCAAAAAACCTGATTAACTCACTTACAGGTTTAGAAACCATGTGGGCTTTAAACTATGGGAGGATATTCCTCCGTAGTGGTATTCATCAAACTCTCTATGACATTCTAGTGGATGTCATACAATAAATCGGGTTCAAATTCAAATAAATTTGGAAAACTAACAGCTCCATCCCCCTTTTCACAATGCAGCGGGATACTCTCATGAATTTAAGCAGACTGGCTTACTTAATGTGCCTCAAGTATAGGACTTGAAAAGCAGACTGGCTTACATTTGAATCCTGGGTGCGCCATTTATTAGCTGGACAGTCTTGAGCCCTTACTTAGCATAAGTCTCAGTTAACAATGGTAGAAAAGTGGGACCAAACTAAAAACTGACAGCCCTGATCCTGATGGAACCGTAGGGCAGTGAGGCTGCAGCAATCCTCACAGTTTATTCCTTATAAAATAGAAATCATAGCTTACTTATAAAATAGAAGCAATAGTGATATCTATCTTAGAGACTTACTGTGAGGATTAAATAGCATCTTCATTAAAAAGAGCAGTTAGCCCAAGGCAAACACAATAACTGGCTATTACTTTAAGCTGTTGAAATCATATTTCTCAAACCCATTTGATCATGGAACTCTTATTTTGTGTAAAGAACATCTGTTAATATCTTGCAAAACTATGTTGTTTGCAACACAAGTAGGAAACACTACTTCCTGTCAGTTTATTTGGAAGGGTGGAAATACGGTGTTTAGTTATGTGCCACAGCTGGGAATTGGTGCACATAATGATTTGTCTCTCAGGTGTTATCTTGGATATAAAAGAGGAAGAGGGACACTACCAGTTTTATGATGAGAGGGAGCAAACCAAACGGAATATGAGAGAAATGGTCTGTTTTTGTAATCTTTTAGCTAAGATTTTAAAAAGCACTATTTATGAAGCCAAAGAAAGATATTTGTGATATCATTTTACTTTATCATATTAGGGGAAAATCACTGCAGTGTAAAAAAAAAAGTACTGCCACTAATATGTTTTTAAAACTTTTGTGTTTACCTGTGATGAAATACACATGTTAATGTGGTTTTAATGATTGACAGATGCATGTGTAGGTAGCCTCTCTATATTGTAATTATTGCTTTTTAAGTTACCCATTGTATTTACTTTTTTTTAATTGTATATGTTTTTTTATTTTAGAGAGAGAAAGCGCGAGCAGGGGAGAGGGAGAGAGAGAGAGTGAGAGAGAGAGAGAGGTGGGGGGTGGGGGGAATCTCAAGCAAGCTCCACACTCAGTGCAGAGCCCAACGTGGGGCTCCATCCCATGACCCTGGGATCATGACCTGAACCAAAATCAAGAGGCAGATGCTCAACCCACTGAGCCACCCAGGCACCCCTTAAGTCATCCATTTTAAACCCTTTTAATTTTATGGCCATGCCGCTTACTGAACTAACAACATAACCCTATGCAAAAGGCTTAGACCCTGTGGGCCTGTCTTAGAATCCAGACTGTCACTGTGTGAAACTGGACCCCTTGGGTTTTAGTTTCCTTATCTTTAAAATGACACTCATAACACCTTTTCTGGTAAGAGTATTATGGGGATGATAAATATCATATATGAAATTTCTAATACATTATAGACCCTCAAAATAAATGAAGCTGTTTTTTTTTTTTTTTTTAAATGAAGCTGTTTTTAGGAGAAATAAAAGTACCCAAATAATGAATTTCAGCTCTTATTAAAATATTTAAAAACTAATATAAGAAAAGACTCACAAACATTCACATAAAACATTCACATATGTAATTTTTAAACAATAAGAATTTCAGAGGAATAAATATTAAAATCACATTTGATAATATATGTATTTTTCAGTGTTATAATTCTTAGGTTCCAGTTTCTGTGATGGATAGAAATTTAGAATCTTGGCTGGTGGAAACATACTTTGTCACTACAATCCATACATACTTGATAAGAAAAGAGAATTAACCTAAAGATAATTATTAAAAGAATCATTTCTTTTGTCTCTCCTTGCTCGCCTATTTATTCACCTTAGACATAGCAAGACTTTTTCTTTTTTTTAACTTGGCCCACATTTTCATTTAGTTATATGAGCTTATTCTTGTCTAAACCACTCCCCCCATAGCCTTTTTTTTTTTTTTTAAGCATATTTGGTTTTTTGTTTGTTTGTTTGTTTGTTTAAGGTCATTCATTCACACCCTTTCTCATTCAACAGTTCTGGGCGGTACAAATCACCTTGCTGTAAACTCTGTTCTGCTTCGTTCATAAACACACTAATATATGTTTGTAGCACTCACTTGTTATTCAGTATTTTAGGGATGAGAAATTTTAATAAATATGAGAGAAGAAAACACATGACTCTGTGTTAACTGTAGAAACCTAGAAGGATAATAATATTTTCTTAAGTAACTAAACCAAAGTCTAATTTAGAACTGTTTTCGATTCACACGGAATAAACATCAAGGCTAATTGTCTTATCGGTGCTTTTCAGCTTTTAATGATGAGGAGGATTGTGGATTTAATGGGACAGTAAGAAGTTAAAGATTTGCCTAACTTTTGGATCTCTTGCTCTTACAAAACATAATAAAATTCACTATATAGTCAGTATCATTCTTACTTAGAAATATATGGAGGAAACTAACATTCAATGGGTTCCCATCATGTGCTGAACATTTTCCTGAATAATAGGTATTAACTACATTTTTAGGTGATTCTATAAACACAGGTTGGTCTGGCCCTCTAGTTTTGATTGTTGCCTCTGTGAAAAGGCTTGCCAAGTGGAATTTCAGTGCTTCCTCAGAGATCATAATCACTCTGTTCTTTCTTGAGCATAATCACTCTGTTCTTCTTAACAGTCCACATGTGAAGACAAGGGAACAGAACAAAACAATTACAGGTTATTTCATTCAGCTCAGATCACTTCGGTTCTGATCACATTCCTTTTTCCTGGGAAGTGAATGTGGAGCACCACACATAAATGTGAAGAGTAGCATGTTACCATTTTATTCATAAAACAAATGATTTCTAGACCCTGCTACCTTTCAGATCCTCTGTCACCTCATTTCACTCCCCTCTGATACTGTAGCCACACCAGGCTTCTTGCTGTTCTGCAAACATACCAAGTCAGATTCTGCCTTAGGGACATTGCTCTGGCTCTTTCCTCTCCCTAGAAAAAAAATATCCCTCCAAATCGTCAGCTGGTCAGTTCTGGTCTTCTTCTCAAAGAGGTCTCTCTCATTTACCCACCTGAAGTTACTCCCTATTATATTACCCTCTATCATTTTCTACATTGCATTTATCACTACCCGAACTATTTATCAGTCACGTGCTCTGTTAGAACAGAGTTTGCATCTTGTTCAGCACCTGAAATACAGCCCAAATATTAGCAGACAGTACACGTTTGCTGAATGTATTGGCTGGATTATTTCCTTGGATGCCCATCAGGGAGATGCAGTGCGGGATCCATTCACTCTACCACCCCCCCCCCGCCCCCATTCTGTACTGTAGAGATGGATGTATTTCATCCTTCATTTATAGATGTCATCTACCTCACATGTCTGTTATGACTTAAAACCAGATAATGTATGAGGAAATGTTTTTAAGCCAGTAAAGACCTAGGTAATGTGAAGTAAAGCTGTTAAAGGGGTACATAGCTTAGAATTAATGCCAGGGCCTGAGCTAAGTACTTTACATGCATTGTCTCACTTCATCTTCACAGCACCTTTATTTGATTCTTTTACCTGATGGTACAGATACAGAAACTAGGAGTTAAAGACAATAATTCATTGGCAGCTGCTAAAGCTGGACTCCTGCCCAGCTCTGTTTGTCTCCAAAGCCTGAGGACCTAACCATATAAAACTTTATTCACAAACCTACCTTAAAAATATTTTGGGGGCACCTGGGGGGGCTTAGTCGGTTGAGCATCAACTCTTGGTTTCGGCTCAGGTCATGATCTCATGGTTCGTGAGCTCTGAGCCCCAGATTGGGCTCTGCATTGACAGATCAGAGTCTGCTTGGGATCCTCTCACTCCCTCTCTCTCTACCCCGCCCCCATGCACTCTCTCTTTTTCCCCTCTCTCAAAATAAATACTATTTTTAAAATGCATTTTTTTATGTTCTAAATAATGTGAAATGGCCATTTAATTTATTCTTTTCTTTCTTCCCTTTTTAAAGATCCTGATGAATTTGAGCAAATATATGAGCCTCTGGATGTCAAAAGTAAAAAGATTCATGTAGTGGACAGTGGCCTCACATTTAACCTGCCATACCCCTTGATCCTGAGACCTCAGAGAGGAGTCGATCTCATTATCTCCTTTGACTTTTCTGCACGACCAAGTGACTCTAGTCCTCCATTCAAGGTAAGGAGAATTTATACAACATTCCATTATCTAGCATGTTCATTTGCATGCCTTGTAGATATTTTAGTCCTCTTCACTCCAATTTCTTATCCCTTTAGCCAATTTTCTACATTATGATGAGTAATATTTTAAAAACACAGATGTGATTTAATCACTTCCATTCTTTAAGAAATTTGTAAAATTTAAAAATTTTTTAAAGAAATTTGTAAATGATTTCCCATGACCCACATTAAAGTTCACAGTCTTCAACAGAACAAGAATGATGCAATGTATCTGACGTTCAAGGAAATGAGGCTGAAAGTTGGATGTTAGCAAGTAAAAGATAATTAAAACCATGCCAGGGGAATATATACTCTCAAGAAGAGGACATAAAATAGTATCTTGAAAATTTAACAACAACTATCAGGGAAAAATAATGAAAATTAAGGAATTGGGGAACAGGAAAACTATGTGTGTATGTGAACAGGTGGGTTGTTAATAGAAGAGATTTGAGTGTATTTAAATGCTGATGCCTGGGAGTCATTAATGAAGATGTTATTGGAGAGTGGAGAGATGACATATATGATAGAGTCAGAGTCACAGTCCTGGAAACTTACAGGGGTGAGGAGTACAAAGCAGATTTAAAAAAAATACAGTTGGAAAGTAGTATAGAAGTGTCCATATTGGGGCAAGAGGGTAGGATTTTTCACTGTCAGGCATGGAGAGGGGAAGATAGGAGAGTACTTATCTGATGACTTCTCACTCTTGTAGGAATTAGAAGTCAATGTTATCTTTTGAGAGTGAAAGGGTAGAGGTGGTGGAACCAGGGTCATGTGGAGAATAAAAGTCTGCCTCTGATGAAATGAGAAAAAGTTCAGAACAGGCAACATAGATTGCTCTGCAACACTGTGATATTACCCAAGCGAGATCATGAATATTATTCCCTCCACCTGGAACACCTCAAACTTTCTTTAGATGCATCTCAAATGTTATCTTTCTTGACCTCCACAGACCTAGTTTCAGTACAAAGGACTTAGTATATTCTTCTAATATGGCAATTTTCATGGTGTATTGTCTGTATTTGTTTACATATATATCTCTTTCACTGTCTGAACTCCTTGGGAACTAGAACACTATTTTGAATGTATGTTTTGTTTTAATCATTTGGTTCTAATTGTATTATTAGTGCCAGCCAAAGTGTAAGTAGGTCATTTTTTCGTTGGTGAATGAAGGAAATGTTATAACAGATATGGAGTTATTATCCCCATTTCATAGATTAAGAAATGGAAATTCATAGAAAGTAAGTGAAATAGTCCATGATCTCCCAACCAGGAAGAGTCAGTGATAACCTGAGTCCTCTGGTATCTGCTTTCCTTTCTGTTATACTATGACTAAACTGCTCTCAAGACTAATAGTGGCTGTCATAATAGCTCCTTAATATATATAAAGCCTCATATTTTAAAAATGCTTTCACATTTAATTTTTTTAGAGGCAGTTAGTGGTATTCTGACAAGGAAACAAGTATTGGTGAGATAAGCAATTTCATCATATCCTCACATTAAATAAGATAATGGGTAAACAGAACATAGTCCAGGACCTGGGTAGGAAAGTGCTAGTTAAGAAGTGGTCAAGCTGAAGGTGCCTGGTGGTTAATCATCCAATTCTTGATTTCGGCTCAGGTCATGATCTCACAGTTCATAAGATTGAGCCCACATGGAGCTCTGCACTGACAGCACGGAGCCTGCTTGGGATTCTCTCTCTCCCTCTCTTTCTCTGCCCCTCCTTCACTTGTGGCCTCTCTATATCTCTCTTTCTCTCTCAAAATAAATAAAATAAAATAAAATGGATGATGAGTAAACAGAACATAGCTCAGGACATAGCTAGGAAAGTGCTAGTTAAGAAGTGGTCAAGATGGGGGCTCCTGGGTGGCTCCATCAGTTAAGCATCCAACTCTTGATTTCCACTCAGGTCATGATCTCATGGTTTGTGAGATCAAGCCTCACAATGGGCTCTGAACTAATAGTGCGGAGCCTGTTTGGGATTCTCTCTCTCCCCCTCTCTCCTTGCCCCTCGCCCACTCATGCTCTGTCTCTCTCAAAATAAATAAATAAAACTTTTTTTAAAATGCCTTTAAAAAAAAAGAAGAAGAAGCCGTTAAGCTGGACCAGCTTCCAAGGCTCCAGAATGACAATCTAACGCTCTTTCTCCTTCACTAGCTGCCTCCTCCGTACACATTGTAGATGTACATTTTTCTGTGCTGTGTGCTGTGTGCAGCAATTAATGATAAACCATGGTTCTTGATTTCTATAACATTTTAGCTTTCTTGGGGGAAAGGCTTTATATGCGAGAGTCATTTGGAAGGAAATTAAGAAACTTACTGTTAAAGAGTTATTTTGATTTATATGAGCATGGGTGTTATGGGAGATCCGTGTAAGAATAGATTGGTATGTCCTGGGGTAGATGAGCAGGGAAATAAATAGACCAGGATGAAAATGGCACAGAGATGGCAATGAGCACATCTGAGGAAGTGGAGTGATCTGATTCGAAGTGATAGATATTAAGCTCCCATTAGGAAGGCTTTAGGGGAGACTCTAAAATTGGATGATAGGAAATAGGGAGAATCAGTGAAGACTTTGCAGCCAGCAAACAGCCTCATGAAATTGGAATTTTAGGATGATTAATCTGACAGTGGAAAGTAGGACGAATTGAAGAAAGAGCAAAAGATTAAAATTAAGAGGGATTTAATGTAATCCAAGCCTAGGATAATGAAGTACTGTACAGGGCAGGTGACTGAGAAAGCCAAGAGGAAGATCTGATGACCCACGAGCAGCTATGGGGGAGTGAATTTCAATGGATGACTGTAAGAGGATAGCTTGGAAACTAGTTCTGGACATGGAAGAAACTGTATTATTCATTTCACCAGGGGGGCTGGAAAATGTCAAAGCCATAATTTTATATATGAATCACAGCCCTGCCACCTCATGAGTTAATATGGGGAAGAAGGTTTGCACCTTCTTTGGTTATCACTTTGTACCTCTAAAAAAAACTTGTACTTTGTTGTAGTTTTTAAATGTACTTTGACTCGTTGTTTCTAATTAAGAAGAATGTATACTTATTATTTAAAAATTTGGATATTTGGAATATATATTAAGTGCTTCTTGTACACAGACAACAGCTGCTATTTTGCAATTTTCTTCACGTGCGTGCGTGTGTGTGTGTGTGTGTGTGTGTGTGTGAGAACACCAGGATAATATAGTCTTGCATTTTGCTTCTTTCTACCTAAAATTATAATGTGAGCATTTTCGCATGCCATTAAATAATTTTTAATGTTTATTTATTTATTTTGAGAGAGAGAGAGCGAGGCAGAGAGAGAAGGAGAGACAGAATCCCAAGCAAGCTCTACACTTAGCACAGAGCCCAACATGGGGCTCAGTCTCATGACCATGAGATCATGACCTGAGCCAAAATCAGGAATTGGACACTTAACTGACTGAGCCACCCAGGCACTCCCCGATTAAATTTTGTTTTAACATAATAATAAACACAGCATGCCGGGCACCTGGGTGGCTCAGTCAGTTAAGCGTCCTACATCAGTTCAGGTCATGATCTCATGGCTCATGAGTTCAAGCCCCACATTGGGCTCTGTGCTGATGGCTCAGAGCCTGGAGCCTGTTTCGGATTCTGTGTCTCCCTCTCTCTCTGTTCCTCCCCTGCTTGCACTCTGTCTCTGTCTCTGTCTCTCTCTCTCTCTCTCAAAAATAAATAAAAATTTTAAAAATTTAAAAAATTATAAACACAGCATGGTATCTCTATACGTATGTGAATATGCAAAAATTTTTAACAATGCTCTATTTTCAACTTTCAGATTATTGCTCTTTTGTCACTTTCTCTGTGATCATCCTTGCACATGAATCTTTAACCATACTTTTTATTAATTGCTTAGGTTGGCTTCTTAGATATGTATTAGTTTAGGACTTTTAATAAATATTTTTGGTTTGCTTTCCCAAAAGGCTGCACCAATTGACATTACTATATAAGATTGTTTATGTGAGTCCTTATTTTACATGGCTTTTCCGGCTGAGAAAATATTGAAAACAAAGTTAAAAAAATTTACAATATGACAGAAAGAAAAAGAAGCACATTTCCTCCAACTTTTCCCTTTGCTTGTGAGTGTAAATAGTTTGTTATGGTTATTTATATTCATGTTTTTAAACTACTTTTAATTGGATTATTAGTATTGCTGCTGTCCATTAGTAAGTATTTTATATCTTAAAGATATTAAAATTTGTCTTATTTTTGCAAATATGATCTAATGAGTATTTGTGTTGGAATTTTTATTTCTGATGATTTTAACATTTTAAATATTTATGTAGTCACTTCTTCCACTGGTTTTATTCTTGAAATTCATATTAACAAGATCAGTTACATATAGACTGGTATTTTTCTTTTTTTTTTCTTTTTTTCAAATTTTTTAAAATGTTTTTTCTGTTTTTGAGAGACAGAGACAGAGTATGAGTTGGGGCTGGGGGGGGGGGGGGGGGGAACAGAGAGAGAGGGCGACACAGGATCTGAAACAGGCTCCAGGCTCTGAGCTGTCACCAGAGAGCCTGATGCAGGGCTTGAACTCACGAACTGCAAGATCATGACCTGAGCTGAAGTCAGCACTTAACTGACTGAGCCACCCAGCCACCCTGGTATTTTTCTTTGTATGATAATCTCTTAAAATATTCTAACTCATTAATATTTTTCAATATATTAGATGCATAATAACACAATCCCTCAAAGATATTATTTGCAATGCTTCCTTTATCATGTACTACAGAATGCCTAGATCTGTTTTGTATGTATCTATTGTATTCCATTGGTTCATCTGACAATCTGATAATTCTTATCTCAGTACCACACTGTATTTTAATAACTGTAGCTTTATTATGTATTTACTATCTTAGAGCCTACAATCACTCCATCTATATAGATTTACAAATTCTGTAGACATTTCCAGCTATGCATTCTCATAGATG